CGAGCGCTGGCCAAACTTTCAGCAAGCGCTCGGACTCTTTTTAGGCCTTTTCGGACGTACGTCGAGCGCAGGTAAGACTCTGTGTGGCAGAGGTGTCACCGTTGGTTTAGTTACTCAAGTTTGAGGTACTTTCTCCCAGCGGAAAGTACCTGAGGGTTGAGCGGTCCTCCATGAAGGACCGTGCGGCCCTCGAAAATTTTGCATATTCTCGCGGAAAGTCCGCGGAAATGCGGCCACTGCGCCGCAGCTAATCTGCAAGGAAACCGCAATTGTTCTCCAAGCAGTCGTCTAAAATTTCGCTAAAATTATTCCAAATGTATGCAAGCGGACCGCAAGAAATCAGCGAACTATTTTTTCGGTGCCCGCCCGCCCATAAATCCCATGGCCGCCTGCCCCGGGCGATTATCTGAGGGTTTGGTCGAACGACTACTCAGACAACCGCCGGGGGCAGGCGGCCATGCGAATTTTGAGCAAGCGCGCACCGGAAAAATAGTTCGTTGATTTTTTGCGGCCCGCTTGCAGAAATTTGGAAGAAAGTTGGCGAAATTGAGGACGAATGCTTGAAGAACAATCGCGGTTTCTTCATGGATTAGCTGCGGCGCAGTGGCCGCATTCTCGCGGACTTTCCGCGAGAATATGCAAAAATTTCGAGGGCCGCACGGTCTTTTGTGGAGGACCGCGCAACCCCCAGGTACTTTCCGTTAAGAGAAAGTACCTCAAACTTGAGTAATTAAACCAAGGGTGACACCTCTGCCACACAGAGTCTTACCTGCGCTCGACATACGCCCGAAAATGCCTAAAAAGAGTCCGAGCGCTTGATGAAAGTTTGGCCAGCGCTCGCTGAAAGAAATTATTTGCCGAGCGCTTGCAAAAAATGCTGTATTGCTGCCCGCTGGCAGAATGTGCGACCGTAAAGGAAGTGCCGCCCGCTGAAGGTTTGGCCACGCCCCAAAATTCTGCTGACCGCCTGCAGAAAAGCGAGAGTTTGCGGACCGCCTGCCCCCGGCGATTATCTGAGTACTCAGACAATCGCTGGGGGCAGGCGGGCACCGGAAAAATAGATTGCTGATTTCTCGCACCCCGCTCGCGGATTTTTTGGAAAGCAATTAGGACTTTTCGGAAGACCGCTTGCTGAGTCAGCGGATTTTTGAGAGACCGCCTGCTGAATTTTTTTTCGCTCTTATCTTTTGCGGATATATTGCTGAATCTCTGAGGAATCGAGAATTGAGCAAGCGGTCTTCCGAAAAGTCCTGATTGTTTTCCAAAAAATCAGCGGGCGGGGTGCGAGAAATCAGCAATCTATTTTTCCGGTGCCCGCCTGCTCCCAGCGATTGTCTGAGTAGGTGAGTGGGTTTCAACGCGAAAGTCCATGGTCCAAAGCCGTCTCGGGGCACATTTTTGCGCCACCGCAGGACAATCTTTGATAGCGGCCGTTATCAAGAAATCGATGGTGACCGCTATCAAGGATATCGCCAAGCAAACAAATAGATAAGACAAAACTATTTTTGACGAGGATATTACGAAAAACGAAAATATTGGAACTTAAAGCAAATGAGACAAATCAAGAAATCCTTGTTTAAAGCAGTTTTTGAAAAAAGAGCGTAATCAAGCCTTGAAAAAAGAAGAAGTCTTGCTTTTCTTGCTTTTCTCACCGCAATCAGCTGTTCGTTGATCCTCTCCCATTTAAGCCGCCGAAATTATGCAGTTTTGGGAATTTTGCACCGCAATAGTACGTCAACCGAATTCTCCCGTAAGTTACTCACGAGCAACTTACGGAAAATTTGTCTGATTTTCTTTTTTTACACACTTTTTTATCTCTCTCGGGTCACCCGAAAACTCAACCTCAATAAGTGGCATTCTGGTGAACTGATTTTGACACTTGATCGGACAGTTTTCTGACTGTTGAACTGACTATCCTAAAGCACGGAAAGGTGAGCGGGATTAGGTTCACCCGAGGAAGTTCTTCTGAATGACTAACCTCAACTACATGAGTTGAATGAAGGTTTACTGGCCTCACAGAAATGGTCTTGGTTATCGCACTTTTGAAATTCTCTCTGCGTTTCTAATTTATTTCTCTCAAGTAGATAAACCACCTCGAGTTTCTTGTAAGTTTGTCATCTGTCATCAAATTCAAATCTTGCTGCAGTCCTCCACCCTAATAATGCGCTCATTTGCAAACTTATTCCAAACTGTAAGGCAACATTACTGTCTCTTCAGGCTTTTGAAAGCAAGTTTCCTCCCTCCACCCTTCTATCTATCCACAGCTTTATGGTTTGGTTAATGCCAGTGCAATGTTCTGTGTTTACAGCTAACTGTGACTCGTACCTGCTGGTTTCCGCTTGATGGCTATTTGTGAAGAGATACAAATTTGCTGTGAAGTGAGCTAGGTTGCGATTTGACCAGCACGGTACCTCAAGATGGTTGAATATCTATCTACACAGAGTGAGCCTCGATGTATGAAGTTTCGCTTATATGCCGATATGTTCCAAGGTTTTTGTTGATTTTTTAGCTTTTACAGGAGTATTCCTGCACTCCGAGGAAAATGATCTCCTCATCTCCCCGACCTCCGGTTTCAAGTATTATTTTCACGCTCTTCTAAGTGCTAATGATCATCTGCCTCACATTTTCTGTGTCTTCTTTCGTTGTCTCCTCTTATTATTCCATTATTCCTATGCTGCCTTTGTTGTTTTGACACCGATTTGTGTTTTGACACCAGTTATCTCGCCTTATCTCATTTGATCCTGTTGAATCTTTTTCTCGCAGGAAAAAGAGTGCTTCTCTTATCTTCGCGCTTTTTCCATCTCATTTATCATTACTCAGCTTTGGTTATCTTATGTGCCTACCTGTTTTTATTTCCCCTTATTTCAGCTACCATGTTTATTTGTGTAATTGTCTCGATTTCATTGCTTGATTGTAGTATTACCCCCGGAACCTTCTTCTTTATTTTATCAGTACAAATAAATAGTAAAACGAGGATTATTTTTCTAGACTTAGTTTGGGTGGGGTTCAGGTGGGGTAGATACAGCATACCAAGTGTGTCAAGTGCAGGGTTTACGAGAAACTCAATTTTTGGGTGGTGCTCAGTGTGCAAGGAACAAGATTTCCGGAAAAAATAACTTTTCGGAGACTTCCGGGGACATATCGGTGGGATCCCGGAAACAAGTAGGATGTTCAAGGGAGAAAAGACCCCGGAGCGTCAAATGTTGCCCCGTAAGGTTGGATTCATACTGATTCGTAAGTTCCGGAACAGCTTCAGCACAGCGCACACTCTTCGAGCGCTCTGCTGAAACCCGGAACCTACGGATCAGTATGAACCCAGCCTGAAGCCCAACACCGACTATCTGAGTTACTGTAAATCTAATCTGAAAGCCAGCTCCATGGAATGGAATCGTACAGAAAGGTCGACAAAAGATTTCGGAAGAATGGAGATATTAAATGCAGTGTCCTGGCACGTTTTGCATTTTCACTTTTCTGCATGTTCAGGCCTTTTCGACAGTAGAACCCGAATTTGAACTAGGGTGATATGAACGTTTTTGTGGCATACCCAATTTTCAGAGGGCAACGTGGACAAGAGTTTCAATGAAAAGTTGGGAGGCCTGACACGAAGACCCTGTTGCCTGGGAATTATTCGTTTATTCGCTATCCGCTGGGACACTGCCTTTGACGATTAAACAGTGCGTATGTAAAGGCTGACGGAGGACGAAGGTGCAAAAGCAGTAATAGTTGAGCAGGCAGAACTACTCAAATGGCAGGGTCGCGGCGTTTCCCCAGCGGTGGGTCTCCCATTCCTTCGGCGGAGCCCTTCCATTTCTCCGGCGGAGACCTCCCATTTCTGCTCCGGATACCTCCCATTTCTGCTCCGGATACCTCCCACTTTCTGCTCCGGATACCTCCCATTTTCTGCTCCGGATACCTCCCATTTTCTGCTCCGGAGCCCCCCGATTTTGTGCGCCGGAGCCCCCCGATTTTGTGCTCCGCAAGTCTGCCGCGGCATACTGTAATTAGCCCTAATCAAAGCCAGCTTCCAGGCAGATCTGGACCTATGGGGCTTTTACATGGAAAGTACTTTTGGGGCCCTAACTAAGGCACTGCCGAAGCAGCAGTTCAGGTAGTGCTCTAATGGCCGAGATATTCCCCTCGAAGCAGACCCCCCGCGAACGTATTCGCATGGATTCATGGCAGTTTCGCGCCAGGATCCACGCTTTGCGCCATGAATCCATGCGAAACACGGTCGCGGGGTCCAGTTTCGAGCAGAATATCTCAGGCGTTAGAGCACTACTTGAGCTGCCGGTTGGGTAGTGGCTTAGTTAGGGCCCCAAAAGTACTTTCCATGTAAAATCCCCATAGGTCCAGACTTGCCTGGACGCTGCCTTCAACCTCCAAACCCCAATTTTGTCTCTAAACCCCACTAAGCCGAATAGGACCTCCCTCCCGGGTAGGAGTTTAGCGCGACCCTCACCCCGTACTCTACCCCCTCCCTCTCACCCCTAGCGTTTGTGGATAGAAGATAGAAGAAAGAACGAAGAGATAAGACATTTATTTCAAATCTTTCAAACTTTCGAAAAATCATCTTATATCGTTAATCTTTTCACACCCACTGATGTAAAAGAATGAACCTTTCCAACAAGACAACGGTTTGTGGAACAGTTTAAATTGGCCCATATTATTTATTTGCTTGCATATATGAAGAACGAATTGTTCTCCACTGATGTCATCGGGAGCGCCAAGATTGAATTTGCTATTTTGATGAGCCAGTGCTAGAGATGCTCGTCGTAAATTGCGCTCCTCATCTGCTCCCTATAAAACAAAAGAATAACGTAAACTCTGAGACTTAGGAAAATGATTGGAATCTGTTAACGGATATTAATCGAAACTGTCAGTTACTTGAAACAAACTTTAGCTTCTCCGACGGTATACGATAGTATGGGGAAAACAAAATTCCACATTTGGGTTGTTCAATTTCTCACTTTAGGATGAACAATAGCTACCCTTAAGGATCCCTAAGTAAAGAAAATATACTTGCTAAAGTAAAAAGTCTCGAAAAGACCCGACACCTTTCCCAAGATACGTTCGCGTGCTTCACGTGCCGGATCCTAAAATATTTCGATTTGTAGGCAAAGATCAAGTATCGAATAAACTAGTTCAATGAATCAGGGCAAAAACGTTCGAGAGATGTGACAAACTTTCCAAAACGTAACTTACCGCAACGATTGTGAAATTGAACCGCACATAGATAATTACAACGGTAAAGAGTGCAAAGAAAGATGCCGTGGCGAGCAATGGTTCGCGGATCATTTGCGAGAACTCAAATTCGTAAAACAGCTGAAAATGTATGACATAATTTCCAAATTCTAGCAAAAAAGAACATCGATTTATTCAGATCGAAGAGCAACTCACAGTGAAAGACTGGATATGCTCTGGAACAAGGTTTTCTTTCTGCAACACTATAACTGTTCTGCCAGTTGTGTCCAAGTATGTAGCGCGGACTTCATCGGGTCTTCTATCCATGCTGTATGGTGTGGTAAGCCTCACTTTTCTAAAATCAAACATGAATTTTACAAAGCAGAGATGCGTTACACATCGGAAAAGGTTAGGTGCAATGTGTAACAAAGGGTGGCTTGTTTGTCGAGCACCCCAATTATATGTTGGTTCCTTCTCAACAATTTAAACTATATGACCCTTTTTTTCAAGACTGACAGTGGTGATCAAAAGCTTACCTTATCATTTCTGGCAGGATGATCTTCGTCGTAAGCTTTTCAACCACAGCATTGTCAAAAATATGATGGAGAACTCTCATTTTTAGCGCATTATTATTGCCCTTATTGTAAAGATATTCGAAAGAAGGCACAATATAACCGATAACCTAGGAAGTGCGCCATCCTCCAAAAAGCGGGAATCTGAACGATAAAAAGGAATAAAATATTAACAGAGGCAATAAGTACGTGACATGTACCTCGGTTTCAGTTCGACATCAACAGAATCAGCGCGAAGTCGCACAGCTGATGTTAATATGTTTCCAATCTCATCTCTATAGTATATATCCTTGGCCGACGCTGGTGAAATCGTCTGAATGAATAAAGTGGAGCCTATTGAAAAAAGTGCTTCTTTGTAGCGATTCTATACAAGCTAATAATGAATCTAATGCCATTTGCTAGCCGCTCCTAGCTGCTCTTAGCCTCCTATTAGATTGTGCATCATCATAGAAACAGCTCTTAGATCTCTAAGAGCTGTTTCTATGATGATGCAACAACAAGCAAGAGTATGGATGCTCTTTTCATCATAACTTGCAAAAGTGATGAAACTTATCACAAAGTTAGAAAAGATGATATATAAAACGAAAAGCACGTAAAAATTCTTTCACTTCCGGATTTCTAAGTCACAATGCTAAAACGCAAATGGGACACAGTTCAAGAACCACTTTTGCGGATCGCAAATTGTGGGCTCAACAAAGGGCTTCTAGATCCCCTTCTCAATCATGATGCGAACGATCAAGAAGATACCCAGAAGCAGCAGAAGAGTAGGGCCGTCTTTGCATTCGAGAAAAAAAGCAGTGTCACACAGTAAAATCTGTTAATAGTGGGACTTACCGTGAAATGCAGAAGAGCCGGTTGTCGGCGCCCCCTACGATCCAGTTAATGATCAATGCGAGAGAAGGGTCCCTAGATGACCTACACGATGAGCGAACAAGTGTTGAGAAATAAGAGAAAGAGAAATACAATGAACAGATAAGATATTTGATCAAGAAGACAAAATCACCTTGAGTTCCTTGGTTTATATCTTTAATCAAATAGTTTTTCTGCTTAGATAGATAGTATTCAGACACTGGAAGTGACTGAGCTAAGTGTTGAGGTGATGCCTTTTTGTATGGGTGTTTTATGCTCCTGTGTGCGCAAGGACCGCAATCAACTCATCGTCACGCTTTCAAAAATGAACCATATATACACGATTCATGACACGCAAAGACTGGGCGCCGTTGCGCCCATCCAAGATAGTTCGTGCTTGGAAGAGACCGCAGATTGTAAGAGAAACGAACGGGCGCTAGAGAGACACCGATACGTCCGCAATATATGCGTCTATGAGTCGCCTATAAGATTCAAACAAAGATTACATACACTTTTCTCGCTAGCAAGGAACCACCACTGAGGCACGAGCCACGCATACTTTACCTTTCTGTTTCTTATCTGGCGTTGCATGAGACTGGTTCATGCTGATCCCTAAGCTCCGGAACAGTGCCAACACAGTGTCCGAACTGTGCGCTGTGCTGGAACTGTTCCGGAACATACGGATCAGTATGAATCCAGTCTAAGAGAATGAAACAAGCGAGATCTGACAACACCAAATGGCAAATCATCAGTGCTTCTGGAACACTGTATTTTCTTCTAAATCGGATGAAGTCAAACTTTGTGGAATATGCCTGCTCTGTATAGCAGAACATTGCAAAAATGGAAAGTGTGAAGATCCCACCTGAGATGACAGATCGATAGTCCTCTCGACATTAGCCACTTTCCAATCAGCAGCAAACGCCACTCCCACAATGAGGATCAGTGTCATTGAAGGCTCGCGCAACTGGGGGTTCATTTTTATCTAAGACGGACCTCATTTGTATAACCAAAGCTGTATAAGTGAAAGCTTACTCCTTTCCACGCTGATAAATGCAGATGCGTTGGCTTTCAGACCTCCATCGTCTTCCACAACGAGCATTAACACGTAATGACCCTCTATCAGCCCCGATGCTGTTGCTTTGGCTTTGTCGGCATTCACCAACAAAGCATTTGCAGGACCTCTAAAACAAAAAAGAAGTAGAATTCGGTTTTGGATTGAATAGAAGCCTTACGAGACTTGTGTCCACTGATAGCTAACAATGCTGCCATCGTCCTTAGCATTGCCATTAAGAACGATGGAAGATTCGGGAAGTGTATGATTACCGCCAGCATCAGCAACTAAAATTGTGATTTCATAAGATCAGAACTCAATTTCACACGGTAACACAGCAGCATGGAGCCATTGAAGAAGAACAGAGAATAATTGAATTCAAAAAAAAACATAACATAAAAGTGCGACATTCAAGAAACAACTCGCCTGGAGGCAGATTTTGAGCTTAAGCTGACACTGAAGGTGACTGAGTGCAACCGCACGAAATTTGAAACATAAACCTGAAAACGAGGAACTTACAACAACATAAACGCCAACGCGACGAAGAGCAACGCGGAAAAGAAAAAAACGGTAAAGAAACGCGGAAAAACAACAAAATCAAAGAAACGGCGACTGAAATATGGACAAAGAGCGTAAACAGAGGACTCATCACCGTGGAGTTAGACGTTTGCTTGCTACGCGCCAAATCGATACGCAGCCTGCTCCGGATACCTCCCATTTTCTCCGGCGCGGCTCTTCCAAATTTGGCGGACTCGCGCCGGGCAAATTTCTCCGGCGCGAGTCCGCCAAATCTGGCAGAGTCGCGCCGGAGAAATGGCGGACCTTTGCAGCAGGGCCGGAGAAGCCTCCCACTTGCCTGCCAGTAATGTCACCGCGACGGACCGCCCATTTGCGCCTCTCTCATTGGTCAACTGGGTCCGGCGCGACTCTGGCAGATTCGGACTGTCCGGCGGAGGGGTCCCGTCGATTGTCTGAGTAGGTGCGCGCATTCTTCACTTGTAAATCTTGCGCCTCATGCTCTCTGCGGCTAATAAACAGCGTCCGCATCCAAAGTATTACGCCTCGTGCAGTAGCCTGTACTACAGTGCTCTAAAAATTTGCAGCCACTCTGACATTTCGCGGTACCTTACTCTGTTTCGCACATTGCGGACTCAAATTTCGATATTATGTGCAAATCACACTGCTTAACTTATTTCAAGAAGTTTTGCAGTTTCGTGCAGACGAAAGGGTTTGGGGGAGCTCTACGGCGACCTAAGTTGCTCAAAACTTGATCCACTTTCTACTAAACGCCTTTAAAGAACTTATCACCCTCCAGCATTTGGGCTACAGATGGACCCCTAAGCCTTGGAATATGCAGTGCAACCAGCATTTATCAAACTCCCAAAAAGGAGACTTTACGGAGCAAATTTCCCTGTACGCCGAATGACCACAAAAATTGGATAAATCATAGGTTGTCAAGAGATAATCGGCTAATCCGTGATCCAAGGGAATTCGGTACCATCTGACGTTTAGTAACGGCTTGCAATGTGAAACAAAAAAAAACTACTGCATGCTTCAAAATCTACCATCCCATTATCTCAGATTCGGCGCAATTCCATCAAAAATTGGGCTCAGCAATCCAGTGAGTTCTCCATCTTCATAAAAACATTGCTCTTACAAAGACGAGCACTAGTCCGTAGCTTAAAGAGCTTCACTGAAAACATAGACGCGCTACTGCTAGAGAAAAGTTTTGCGTTTATCACGCCTATCAAATGTTTGATTTGCCTAAGGCCTCGGGCAGAGTCACGCGATTTGATCGTCGCGATTCAAATCGCTACAACACAAGTGTTAAGCCCTGGCCATACGTGCAGCGATTTCATCGCCGAAGTATTTCGTGATTGTGGCGACGAAATCGAAACTATCAAATCGCTCACCGCGAGTTCTGGCCATATCGATTTCGTTGCCTGTTTAGCAATAAGGTGAAAATACAAACTCCAGCACATGTTCTACGTTTTCTTTTGGCATTAAGAAGAAATATTTACTGTGAATCTTTACATTTGCAGATTTCTTCGTCTTTTTCGACACCAATAAGTTCTTTCATCAACAACTTACATTGTTTCTCGCGCATTTGCATCCATCACTCAACCTTTCTCATTAGATACAGGATGTAAAGCCATTTTACCAAGTTAGCTGCGGTTTCATACGTTGCTAATTTTTTCTTGATATTCAGATATCTATTATAGATACTACGCATGCTGTTCAGTCACGAGTGAACAACCAAAAATATTCATTTTGAATGATGGTACGAACTAGAAGAAAAGCACAACACAACACGAAAGAAGTGCAATTTAGGAAATCTGCATTACATCTTAACATCTTCGCAAAAAACAAGTCGAAAGAAAAAAGAATTGTTCCAAAAACTTCCAAAAAAGACACTCAATTTCAGCGATATCGCCACATCGCTGGTTTCGAACTTGCGATGCGATATCGCAAGATTTCGGCCAAATCGCGGCGATATCGCTGGAATAGGTATGGAAACACGGTCTGCGATTCGTCGCGCCGGACAGCTAGCACGACCGATATGCGTAATTTGCCGGCATGAAATAGGGGGTATGGCGGTTGTTCGATTGCACAAATCGCATCGCGGTGATTTTTTTTTTTTGACGGCATGGCCAGGGCTTTACTAGTTCATTGCATGCCGATCCTCTTGCATTTCGGTTGTGATAGTTTTCCAACACGATTAATCGTGACTAACTATCACACCGAAATACAAGAAGATCGGCATGCAATGAACTCGTAACATTTGTCTTGGCGCGATTGAATCGCGACATCAAATCGTGTGAACCCTGCCCGAGGCCTAAGGAAATTATCAGTTGTAAAGATTGCGCAAACTTTTCTGTAGCTGTAGCGCCATCGTGTTTCCAATGGAGCTCTGCCATCGGACCTGTGATCGTCTTTGTAAAAGCAGTGTTTTCATAAAGTCTGAGAACTCTGTAGAGCCGTGAGCCCAATTTTTAAGCTAAAAGGTGCGCTCAATCTGAGTCAGGAATAATAGAATTTGAAGCATACTAAGTAGTTCTTTTTGTTTCACATTCGCAAACCGCCACGATACGTCAGATGGTATCGAATACCCATAGGAGCACGGATTAGCCGATTATATTTTGACAATCTTATGATTTACAGTGACCGCCAAAAAGTTGCGGACAAGCCGTCTTCCTTTTTTCATCGCTCATTTTCGGATGGAAAACGAAGATGAAAAAAGATTAAATTGCATATGGTGATAGAGCTCACCAAGAACTACAACCCATACATTGCGCTTTCTTGAAAACATGTATTATAAAAGTTTTAAAAATCTTTCCTTAAAAAAAGTCCCAAAACGGCCGCGTCACAATGTCGCGGACAATAATTCTTCGAACGCGAAAATTTTCTGTTTGGTCTTTTCTTGGAGCAAAAACAGAAGTTATCCGGACAGGTAAGCACACTAGAGCTGTAGAGCTTGTAGAGCTCATCGAGGGCAATAATCGGGTAATGGTTTCTTCCAAAAAAACCCAAGCTTGCATTTGTTTTGCTTTTTTTTTCAAAAAATAATTTCTAATTCCCTTCTTCAAGCCAAATTTCCCTAACATGGAAACTTATTCAAGGCATTCCAACAAGGCTATTTGGATAAAATGGATGCCCTTTGCCATCTTCTATGCATCGCACGTGTCTGGTGAGTTTCTTTGCTAAAATTGGCTTTTGACAGTGCGTGCACATGACCCCACCTGCACCTTGCCACTGACTTGCACCGCTTTGCAGGCTTGTATCTCGGACGGCAGTCACTCCACGAGCCTGTGCTTAGGCTCATTCGAAAGAGCGTGACTTCCTGGACACGATGGTATGCAAAAGAATTGGGCATGTGAAACAGCAGAGATTTGGCGGATGGGGTGACAAAGCGCAGCTTCAGTAGTAGGTCAAGGATTTTTCAGTTAGAGTTGAACAAAGCTTTTTTCGCCACCAGTTTCATCCTGAAAGTTCAAAACCGTCAAATTTCTTGTAATAGATCCATTTCGGAGCTCTGAGACCGTTCTATTGTTGATAAAATCCTTCACTCCATTCATCTCTGAGGCTGCGCTTTTTCACCCCATCCGCCAAATCTCTGCTGTTTCACATGCCCAATTCTTTTGCATACCATCGTGTCCAGGAAGTCACGCTCTTTCGAATGAGCCTAAGCACAGGCTCGTGGAGTGACTGCCGGCCGAGATACAAGTCTGCAAAGCGGTGCAAGTCAGTGGTAAGGTGCAGGTGGGGTCATGTGCACGCACTGTCAAGAGCCATTTTCAGCAAAGAAACTCACCAGGACACGTCCGATGCATAGAGAATAGCTAAGAGCATCCATTTTATCTGAACAGCTTTTTGGAATCCTTGAATAGATTTCCATGTGAAGAAATTTGGCTTGAAGAAGGGGATTAAAAATTTTCTGAAAAAAAGCAAAACAAAATTCATGCTTGGGTTTTTCTGGAAGGAACCATTACTCGATTACTGCCCTCGATGAGCTCTACGATATAGTATGCTTACCTGTCCGGATAACTTTTGTTTTGCTCCAAGAAAAGACCTAACAGAAAATTTTCGCGTTCGAAGAATTATTGTCCGCGACATTGTGACGCGGCCATTTTCGAACTTTTTTAAAGAGAGATTTTTGAAACTTTTATAATACATGTTTTCAAGAGAGCGCAATGTGTGGGTTGTAGTTCTTGGTGAGCTCTATCACAATATGCAATTCAATCTTTTTTCATCTTCGTTTTCCATCCGAAAATGAGCGATAAAAGAGGAAGGCGGCTTGTCCGCAACTTTTTGGCGGTCACTGTATCTAATTTTTGTGGTCATCTGGCGTTAAGGAATTGCTCCTAAAATTTCCTATTTGGGAGTTTGAATGCTAATTGCACTGCATATCTTAAGGCTTAGGGTGCATCTGTAGTCCAGATGCTGGAAGGTGAAGTTTCAAAGAAAGTTTTGATCAACGCCATTGTCCTCAGAGCCCCTTTCTGTGTGCTGCAAAATGTTTTGACACAGTGTTAATCAGTGTGATTTGCATGTAATAGCAGGATTTGGATCCGTTTCATTCGAAACGGAGTAAGTTATAGCAAAATTTCAGGGTGGCTGCAAAGTTTTGGCCAGCACTGTATTAGGAGCTCTGTACAGCCAGAGGCTCATTTTCGTTAGGTAATAGTCATATTGGTTAGGTATCATTTGAATATTCTAAACTTTTTCTCCTTCAAACCTTGCCAAGATCTATGTTTTGGAGCTGTGCATATGGTTTCAGTCTCATATAACAAATCCACAGGTAAAATACCCAAAGAACTGTTCGCACATGATAGAACTCCGACAAAAACTACAAAATGAGTACAATTACTAAACCCACTCTCAAGTCATCCTTCTATTTTTTTGTCACAGCTTTTACAGCCGAGCACTCCATCGAAGTGTTCAGACCGTTCTTGGGATTATGGTCGGATGTTGGTGACGGTCGAATGGACTACGGCGGCCGGTTGTGTCATTGAAAGCTGTCGTTACGCATTGCTTGCTTCCTCCTCCCGCCCCTGCTGTGCAGGTGCCTTTCCGTTTCTTCTTCTTATTCAGGAAGCAATCAACACTTCTAGCTACTTGTCAGTTCCGTTACACCTTCTCACATAGCACACCGAGGTGGTCTTTCTGCCATTCATAGATTTTTGCCTGTTCACACTCAGTAACGTAGGGGAAAAAATTTCTCACTGACGTTTGGACGCTTGGATATATTTTTATCTACTTTAGGTAGTCGTCCAGATGAGGACGATCTTCGTCTTTGTTTACTGCACTCATTTGTCTCTTTCCCTACGCACGAAAAGAGCTGATCCTATGCAATGGCAGAGTAAGCGGCTTGTAAAGTTTTTATACAGAACAATCGTTGACGAGAGCTAGGAAGCATTTTGCAATCTCTATTAGGAGACTATGGAGTATATATTATGAGCAAATATGAACTAACTACTCTCAGTACAATTTCAGTAGACCATATGCTGGAATAAAGTTTTTAGCACTAATCGTCAGACAATACCAGGCTTGAACTGAGCGCTTGCGGCAAGGCTTGCTGGTAATTTTCAGACTCTCGGTCTTCTAAGTTCGTCATTGTTAGTTATTACAAGTGACTTTGTTGGAACTTCTTGATAATTTAGTTTTTCGCTCACTGGTGAAAGGTTTAACATTTACCAAGTGACTGCTTACCTATCAAATGCTACAATATTTGTTGACCTCTCATGACCAAAAGTCATACTGAGAAGTTCAAAAACATTTCGAAAGTGCGGGACACTGACGACCACGCATCGTTTGATTTCTCATAGTGCCCAAAGGAAATTCACATTTCTTCAATGTATTTTTAGAATACGAGGATTTTAAAAAGTTTGTGGCTTTAAGTACTTCAACTGTAACTCGATTTTTACTATATGTGTTCGCTAAAACTAGAAAACACTGAATCAACACAGAAAGACCTGTCTCAAGATAATCTACAAAATTTGAAAGTAATTTTTTTCCAGCTTCCTTGAAGAGGCGGAAGAGTGCGTTATCTGACTTGCTCTACCTTTTTTAAGGCCGGAAAACGGATACAGCTTTCCGTTTTTTCAAATATAAATAATCTTAAGATTACACTTTCTTTGAATATTGGCTCGGTAGCTTGCGATACAGCAGACAATCGCGGCACAAGTTTGCGTTCAAATTTTTTCACTTTGAAAACTTTTGGAAGTCTTATTGCAACGTGTATTTGCAGACAATTCTCTGACCTTCGTTGTATTCCATTTCAAAAATTTTGCACTCTTGTAAAGCTTTTAAAGATAAAATGTAAGAATTTTGTTGCCTGATTTTTTGACGAACAAATCGTGCAACTGGATCTCTTGTCTTTCAAGGCATGGTATTTCGAAACGAACTTACTCCTCAAAAATATAAGCACATGTAAGGATTCTTGAAGAAAGAGCTCTTAAAAGATATACCAAGTTTCTGCCAATTTTTTTTCCTTCTGTAATCATTTTACGGAAGGAGGTCTGGAGAGCTTTAATGATGTGTTTCAATCTAATAAAAAATCAAGGAAATTACAAAAAAACCTATTTTTACTGAAATAATGGTACCTAGGGTTGATAAGCACAATAAAACAGAAATCGAGGAAAATTCGAACTGGAAGTACTTGAAGCCAAGCACTTTCCAAACACCCTGTATCACTTTACTTTAAATTGTCCTCTACATTCACTATGGTCACTCATACAAATAGCTAATGTAAAAACAATTTTAGATTTTATCAAAAAAAAATCTCGATAATAATTGACCATTTGGATCTCAAAAATAGAAAAAAAATAAAACCGTACCAATTTTCATGAAGTTTCATTAGTAAGAAATCTAGCTCTCGCCAAATTTGGACAGGTAATTTTCGAAGTGACGAGACTTTTGAAAGAAATATAGCTTGTGAGTACAAAATAACATTATCGTTCTTGATTTTGCACTTAGCAAACTAGACTACATTCAAATTGCACTATAAGTTGTTACTAATGAATGCTGAACATACTGGAGACGAAATTTTGTATTTTGTAGCAGATGGAATAGGAAACATTTTTCGGCCTCTTCTTTTTTCATACTAGACTTCGCAATTTTGATAATTCATTGTGGGAATCATTAGGCATAAGTGGGTGTCTTTATAATATTTGTTATATAAAAATGTTGCTAAATCTACTAAGACTTATTCTCGGGAGTTTTCTATCATTGAGCGATGACGAAATACGAGCTAGCTTTTACTTGCGTGTAGCAATTACAGGATTATGAGGTTTAGTGAAACATCAAGGACAACTCGTCCACTTTTGCTTTCTTTTGCCACATACCACCACCTTGCTGATTAATCATTGCTTATAGATCTGATGCAATTAGATCGAATAATCCGTGCCAGTAATGTCAGAGCTTTGGAAATTGAAAATTTCACAAAGCAGGCGGCAGTACGACAGAATCAGGTATGCATTAACAATGGGCATATTTCTTTCTAGAAAAAAAAAGAGTACAACTTTCATGGTTTTTTTTTGTGAATGGAAAAATAGTGCAGGAGACATGAAAATAAATCCTTCTCTGCGGGTCAAACGGCGTTCTTGATAATACCAGATTATCTGAACAAGTTCCGTTCATACATGCGCACTTGTGGTTGGGAGAAAAATTCAAAGAAGCTAGACTTATTGAAAAAAGTTTTCAGATCGCAATGTCCTTTGAGCAAGGGCAAATCGGTCTGAAACCTTTTTAGTAGCGGGCAGATCTTCTTATAGCCCGAAAAACTGCGTATGGGGATATTTTTTTTCGGATTGATGACTTTGAACTTTGGTTGAGGTCATAGCGCACCTAGAAGCTTAAACTTCGTAAAGAATTTTTAGAAGGAAAACAAATCAACCTCGAACTTACTTAATTGCAAAAATTTAGAGAAATATGTTGCTTGCATCTTCTTCATCCGTGCTTTCACCAATGGCTGCTCTTGCTATGGCAAACAATCGCTTTACTCCGCCAGACATTTTACCATTGGCAAGAAGTGAGGCACATCCAGATCTGATGGCTAGTAAGTCTTCTACCATTTCTATTTTTTTTAGCATTTCCATCGAGATCCGTATGCTTACTTTCATTACTTAATTCTTCTTCTATGTCTCTTTCTCTAGATTACACCCCAAGATCCAGAGTTCTAGATAATTCAGAGTTATTGGCTGATCGAGAATATCTGTTTGGGACCGCTCTTCCACGTAAGCTACTCTCTCGACTCTAAATCACTTTGTAAAGATATGTATTCAGCAGCTTTTCCACTTCGGGACATACCGTCAGTACCGCCGCTTCCACCGCTACCGCCACCGCCAGTACCGCCTTCGTTGGTGCCACCGCCGCCCATGATTCTGCCCCGAGTGTTCCACCCAAGAATGAGGACGAGAGGTATGGGACCTGTACCCATTTACATATTTGAAACTTACCATCCCATTTTCAAAAATTTAGGCGTCGCTGTAGTGGAAACCCCACTCTCAATAGATGAACCAATTACACGCATTTTCCCAAGGCCAAGTCAACCAACTGAGCCTGACGAATCTCGAGAGAAATTGCCGATGCGCATGAGAGCAGATGAGTACAAAAGGAAGGAGTACCCGGAATATGTAACTGTATGACCGTTAAGTTAATAAATGCATATTTTACGCAGAAGATGTCACGGGTGGATTAAAGGAGAGAAGTTTAGCGTCTGCAGCTTTCAAGGTGGAAATGGTACATTATGCTAATGCTCAATTCTGAACCTACAAAAAGGTTCCTAAAGGAAAAGTCGAGAGAAGTGGCTAGCAATGAGATGACAAGAACCTGTTATTTGGCTGTTGAATAGGGATTTTTGCACAAAGGAGGATGTAATGATTCGGGATACTCAAATTAAAGATTCATAAACAGAACTGACAAGAGATAAACAAACCAATGCCACACTCCAACAGAAGATTTGAAAGCATGACGTTTTTTTTCAAAAAGAAGCAGGACTGTTGGAATCCAGTGAATAAATATTTTTCAGGATAAAATGGTAAGGCTGTAAACTGAATGTTCTCTCTTCTCTGAACCTGGGCATTTGGACTGATGTTAATAGTTGTCATATGATATTATGCCAGTGCCAGGTTTGTACGGTGGAACGTTTTATTGGCCTTACGTTTCGACAAAGTCGTCTTCGTGGGAGGCCTGAAAGTAGATTGCAGTGTTATCTGTGGGACCAGACCGCCAAACGCCTCGCCGCACTGCCGAGTCTAGACCACGCTCCGAACTCAACGTACAGAGGCATGTCGATGAGAAGACGAACCTTTATCCACCGTGGTGTTAATGAGAGTCGAAACGTAAGGCTGTAAACTATTTCCACTTTCCCCGCCTCAAATCTGAGATCTCTACAATCTGCTGATTTTTTAGAGATATTTCACATTAAATGTTGCTTGCGATTCCAATCAATTAAATGACAACCTAATCTAGTAAACAAGTTTTTGAGACTAAAGGGGTTTCATAAAAATTTTGGAGGTGTAGTAGGGTTTTAACAAATAGTGTGGGTTGCAAAAGCAGATACGATGTATCGGTTATCTCTGCAAGCTTTTGTTTATTTTCCTAGATAAGCTTTTTCATGAGTTCTTTAGGGGGAAGATTCCTGAGCAAATTTTGAGAAGCGTAAAAGTCAACAAAATCTGTTGCGCCCCCCCCCCCCCTCTCCCTCTTAGAAGAAAACCTGCAATGGTCACTACACTGATACAAATACTAGTAGATAGCCTACGAAAACTATAACCCATTAGTCTTGAAAATATGATAAATAAAATATAATAATTCCTGAAGCAAATTTGGATGGTTAGTTTGCAATGATTCTGCGCATGTTTTCAGCAAAATCTAAGCAAAATATAATACAATCTAATACTGAGAATTTTTTTGGTTTTTCGTCTTCCCAAAAAAAAAACCGAAGCTGTACCATATGCAGCGTTGAATGTGTAAAGGGCCGGGCATACTTCATGCGATCTCATCGCGACGCGATTTGGCAATTTGCCAGAAGTCTTCAGATCCAATACAAGCAAAATGCACGTGCATAATGTGTATAACTTACATAGATTGATAAAATGCCCTATCTTCTGTACATTTAAAATGTGCTTACAGTGAGTTTTGGACACTTGGAATATTGCCAAATCGCGTCGCGACTGAAATCGCGTGAAGTATGCCCGGCATTTAAGGGATATAGAATATGATGTGCTAATACTGTAAATATTAACAAATTTATTAGTAGGGCAGTATGATAAGTTAACAAAAAGGCGCAAGAATAAACAAAAGTTCGTCAAATAGAAACAAAATGATGGAAAACATACAACATGCTACAGTATACCTGAATGCAAAAAGAATACAGTAGTCTCAACGGACAGGCAAAACCAAATTCAAAAGTGGGAAGAAACTTGAGCAAACACAGTCACACGGCATCATATAAACAGGCATGGATCCGACAGTAATACATTAAAATTTACTAAAAGGCACTACTACTACCCGTGGGAAGTGAAAATACAAGAAATAGACGATTCATCGCACGCAGAGACATGACGCCTTTGCAGACGCTGTCGGCGTTTCTTAGATAAAACGCGCTTTCATTCCTCTAACTGTCTGCTGTCTATACCGATCTCGTACTATTTTAGTCCTGCGTGCGACAAATTGCGCATACGAGAGAAGAGAGCAATGTTTGTGACTGTCACAAAATGCGGACAACTAACACAATCACAGAGGATAACTGTCACGAAGCGACTATTTTTTGCCGGGATGTACTCCCGAAGCTTCGGCTGCGATGGCAGCGGCTTCATCGGCCACATCCATTTCGGAGATACAGAACTTGCATGTGTAAGCGCATTGACCCTTCATAAACGACTCTTGTTCCTTACATACGTCGGGGTTGTGCTCGAGCCAAAACGCGCACGAATAGCGCATGTCACGACATTTCGGATCTCGGAAGGTGGACGGTCGCGTGTGCGTGAAAAAGACGATCTCCGTGGTACGTCGTGACGATGGCGTCAGTGCCGGTTGTTCCGTCGTTGTCACCACCAGTTCTTCGGGTGTTGGCATGTCAGTTACCACCTCACCACTGCTTACAATGGCCTCAGTCGTGCTTAGTGGACTATCTGTGGTAGTTGTCGTAGGCGGAGCCTGCAGGGACCAGTTTTCATTTTTCCCAATGTCACATGAACTTACCGCAGTTGTTGTGTATTTGAAGAAATGCATGCTACGCCATCTAGTCGCCCTTGGTGGTGGCGGTCTTTCCCGTGGTTTATGGGTAAGCCAAGGACGAGCTCTAGAAATTCTTGTTTGCGCAGAGACGCAGTGTAAAACTCTGTTTCTCTGAACTCTACCCTACCTTGTTGGAGCAGTGACGATTTCTGTCGTAGTTGTCGGAGGCGGAGCTGTTGTGGTGGTTGTCGCTTTAAACAATATTTTTGCATAATCAATAGCAAAATGAACGTTTTTACTTGTTGTTGTTGTTGTTGTCCTTCGTGTGGTAGTTGGCGGCCTTGTGCTAGTTGTCGCTTCAGTGCGACGCGTGGTTGTTGTTGTCAAACTATTGCCAATACCCAACAACTGCATTCGATCTGAAATTTTTGCTATTTCATTTTCAGTGCTGATTATTGATTTATTGATGAGAGTTAGCATACATAATTGTTTTTTCCGAAGTTGTGGCGCAATGCGAGACAGTGGATCTCGTTGAATTTTATTGTGTTCGAGAACTGCTTCAATAACTTCCTGGAAAAAGTATAATAAATGAAAGATAGCGAAGAATGATGTCCGGCGGGTTTACTAAAGGAAAATCAAATTGTGGGCTGGAACGCGGACTGGGACGCAAGGTCCTGGGTGGAAGAGGTGGTGGACGAGTTGATTGCGCGCTCTATGCGTCTCTGACACTGCTCCATCAAAAATCAATGTTTTGTCGCTAGAGACACTTCTAAGTCACTAACTCTAACATCTCTCACCATCATATTTTGAGTACTGCGATTTTTTTCAAAAAATGTACCTTGACTCCTTCGAATGTTTCCACAGCTGTAGGAATCAGCTCTTTTTTGTGCAGAATAAATCCATTAGATACTAAAAATGGCTGACACTTCCACTGTATAAAAAAGTATAAACGGCATACATTCATATTCTGGCCTCAGCTCCACGAGATACACATATTTGATACCATTCGCTTTCGCCCAGTCGTCTGATCCACCGGAGGCTGGCGCTGTTTAAAAAATCGATTTATTGATTTTTATCCATGTTCCAGTTTTTATAATGTTCCAATAAAATATCAAAACCTTACATAATGTGTCCGCTCCGGTTCCCATGCGATACTCGGTTCCATACTGACGATGTAATCTGTTGATGGCGCGACGTGCTGTGCGACGCTGAAATCAAACTGGACGAGTTACCTTGCTCATCTCTGACGATACGCGATCACCTACTAGTTCGCTAATATCTTCCGGATAATTTTGCTGTGCATGGCTGTATGGATAGATCCACAGTTGTGCATAAGAGTGCAACGTTATAAAGCCGTCCACTCTGCCGCGTAACTCGTCCGAGTCCAGGTAGTCTCGCACAGCGCTAAAACTCGTCCGCTTGTTTGAACAATATTGATTGGTAAAAGTTCGCAATGAATTTTACCGTGATTCCGGCTCACTGAAGACTTGTTCGCCATGATAGATATTAGAGCATGGTTCAGACGAGGAGCCGGATTCTAAAGGTTGGTGATTGTGGGCGGAGACAGGGCGGAGTTAAGAATAAGCGTTTGCAAATACCATTTTTTCGAGCTAAGAAAATTCTAGCTAGAGCCATAGTAGACAAATCAAGTATTTTTGCTCCAAAAGCGCTGATTTTACTATATTCCCTCCTCCGTCCCTCCCCTTATTTCAGAAATTTGGTGAGGTCCATACCTGCCCAGTGAAATTTGAAGTTTCTGTTCAAGTCAACGCCTTGACAACATTTCTCTCCACCCCACAAGGAGCGATGGCACTTTTCTGGTGAGCGATTTTTGCGCCAAAGGCGAACCTGAATCAACCAATCAGAACTGACAGCAAAAATCAATAGATTGATTGCACTCACACTGGGATTTGGCGATGACCTCGTATATTCATATCCATCTGGATTCAAGCAAGGCATCACATAGAAGTCAAGACTGTTTACATAATGGGTTATGGTATCATCTTTGCCATAACCAGAGACAAGCTGGAATGATTTGATGATGATAGGTCCCACATGAAAACGAACGTACCTGATTTATAAAATAAAGTGCTGTATGGCTACTAGCCCATTCCCTAGCGTGTATGTTACCGTCTATCCAGATTGCTCGTTTATTTGTTGAAGATACTGGATAGCCAATCTATGATAAGCAGTACGGTAACTACGGTACATCTGTTCGTGGCAGGGCCTACCTTCAAGCCTTCTATTGGTTTTCCTTCATGTGTGACACCAAGGCGAACTATTTTTGTTATATTTGGGTAGTAGAACTCGATTGTGCGCATGTATTTCATCATATCAGCATAGGAAGCATAATCGCCGAATGAATATTTGGCTTTCTTCAACTTGCCGACTCGCGATTGATCACCATCAGCTGAAAAATCAAAGATCATGAACACAGTGAACGCGAGAACTGGTCCCCAATCAACAGATCTCGAGTAGGATCGCAAAAGAAGGAAAATTCACTCTCAGAACCAAAAAAGTAAAAGAGCGGTGATCCTGCAGTGAGTGGGCGCGGGGATCAGTTCTCGCTGAATTCACAGAGTTGCGATTGTGATGGTAATAGTCAAATGATACGCGCTACAAGTCCTTATAGTTTTTCAAGAAAAAAAACGCTGATTCAGAATTGGAGCTACTTTATTAAGGCAGAGATGTCGGCGAGAACTGGTCCCGCCACCAACCTCTTTGGTAAACTTACGTTCACTGTCCAAAATTGGATCATCTTGCAATCGCCCATGTGCTGGTCGTCGTCTTGTGCTAGTTCGTTCGTTTCGAATAATCAATCTACAAGGTTACTTTTTGCAGTCTGATTGTCTGCGTCTCTCCTTATCTCTTACTTTTCCACATCTGGTACACGAATTTCAAAATCAATATTAGCTCGTCGGAAGAGACGTTCCATATCATGGGCATTTTTCGATGAGATCATAATGTCGGCAAAATCTGTCATATGATTGGGTTCTTTCCAGAAATCAACCTAAACATTCGTAAAATTATTTTTTTTATTTTCATATATTTTAACAGTTAGGAAGATTTCGGACCATGACTAGGCTACTCGCTCAATTGTTTTCAGTGGAATTTTTGATAATTCCTTATAATTATCGATTAGACTTCTATACTTTGTTCGATGAATTATTTTCAATTTAATTCGAAAATCCGACTTTCAATGATTAAGGAGGGTTTTCTACCGTAAGTAGACCTCTATACTTCCTAAGAATTATTTTCAATGAATTCAAATAATTCCTGACAACGAAAAAAATTTCCTACTTTTACTAAAGTTCTATACTTGTTCTGAAAATCAGACTTGTATGGGATGTATCTCCTATTTTTAAAGATTTATAAACCAGATTTCCTGCAACAGCTCTGCAAGTGCACCACCACAAAATTACCGTAACCTAAATTTCCTCTTACCTGATATTTGTGATCCTGCATTTGCAGTTTTCGCAACTCCCTCATTCCTCGTGCATCATTTGGCTGTACATGGTAGAGCAAATACTTTTCAGCATTTGTTAAACAGACAAGCAGAGTCAGAAATAGGATTGTTGGTCCTATACAGACCACACATACGCGCTTGCTAGACATTGGCTAGGAATGGAATGACATGTGAAGATGCTGAAAATTTTACGATAACGTTGGGAGGTCCTAGAACAATCAGGCGGACAACTAGCACAAAAACGAATGAGTAATGAGGCAAAGCTAAGAAATGGCTTCAGCAAGAGCGTCTCTGATCGGAGAGCGATAGGTTGAGATGACGAAATTTGGCAATAATTTACAAATTGGCAGGAATATTCACATGTAGGGAAAAGCAGAAAAAACTACGGAGATTCAAAAATGTTTAGCTGTGAGATCTTGATCAAATTTAAAAGAAAAAGCCCCTTATCTAATTCTAGAAATACAAACATCTTGACAATGTTAAAAAAGCATAAGCAGGAAGGGCAGGAAAGCACGCTATTGCCCCCCCCCCCCCTTCCAAAGTTCCGCTCTCTTTTTTGATAAATGGTACTAACGGCTGCTTGCTGTAATGCTTATGATTAAGTGCCATTTGCCTAGGAAAATAGCAGCATTCGCAAAAACTCGTCCCATTGCCAAGTTCTTACCCCTACGGTAAACATCGCATGTACTGCTTGGCATACCCAATAAATTTTAGCATTCTACCAACCATAAATCACTACAGTAGAATGTTCAAATAAAAATTGCAGATAAGGTCCCTCTTTTTTGTATCCAAACTGAGGGCCATTCACAACGTTACGCCATAAATAAATGTCATAAATAAATAAATCCGTTGGACTTGTGAAGAACCGATGACTTCTACAGCAATTCGGTTAAAGTTTTTCATGCAATTTCATGAATGTTTTCGTGCAATGACTAAAAGTTTTTTCCTAGCCATTATAACACAGCTTCAACAAAGCTTTTGACCTATACTATTGAAATTTTGAAGATGAGACTTCAAACAGATTTTTAATCAAGAATTTCTTTGCACTCACTTTCCTAGCGAAGCCATAAGTGCAAGTGAGCGTTTTTTTCCTACATATAATCGTCTAATACACACGTAGCTTTTTTAAATGATTAAGACTAAGAATAGACGCCCAAAAAATAGCCCTTTAGTTGTCCTTCTTCCTCAAGAAGCACTTGTAAAACTCCAGCGTATTCTTGTAAAAGTAGTGTATTTGGTTCTTCGCAAAAACGCTTAGCTCTTCACCAGAAAAAAAAGATTATAGTGTTATAGTGACTTGAATTGTCCAAGAGCACCAAAAAAAGGAAATAAAACGATTTATATTTTTTTCACAAATCTTTATTACTCAAGGCCGTAGCTACATAACAGCCACATTAGCACAAACTGAAAGAAATAACGATTTGCGAAATGCGGGCTAAGAAGAAAGCTCCTTTGTAACTTGGGTTTTTCTTTAAAATTGTTATTCACGTGAATGAGTGCTCTTACATTTGCCAACTCTTCCTACTGCTTTTCACACCTCAATGAATACCTAAATAAGTCCTTGCCTCTCTTCTCCTTTTCCTTAAAAGAAAATATAATCAATGTGGAAACTCTAAGAAAGTTGTGAACGAATTGGCACCTGGAAGGAGCTCTATGCGAAACGAAAGGGTAGATAATTTTTTAGAAATAGAAGGAGATCCTTGAATGTAGTTGTAGGAATACAGAATGTCAGTAAAACCTATACCAAAATAAAAAGTCAAAGAGAAATTAATGTGCCTTGACCAAACCGCTCGGAGAAAGTCACAATTCCAGTAATGCGACACGCCCAGGAACGTCAAGAATTCCAACGTTGAACTTTTTTTAAGCCGGGTTCACACAAAACCGGTGCTTGTAACTACTCGTCCCTATTGTGACGGGGTGACTATTAGGATGATGTGAACATGCCGAAAAGAGAAAGCGCACTCGTCAAATTATGGTCATTCTTTTCGAAGCTGGAAAATCTGGTCACCATAGATTCATTATGTGCGGAGATGTCCTAGAATTTTTTTTTAACTTGTGTTTGCTAAAAGCACGAATATCAGCAAAATTTCGAGTATGATATTGTTAACTTTCTGATATTTTCTGATTTTAATATGATGCAATTCCAAAAAAGATAAATGAGCCTTCATCTATAAAGAAGATTTTTCAGCTGCGATTTTGCCTTTTTTAAAGAAGTGACTGTTAATCATTCAAGCTTGCTAAGTTTTTATTAAAATTTCTCCAAGATTTGATGGAACGCGAATATCCTCGCTAGAATGACTAAATTTATCATAGAGATCCGTTTTCTTCACTCGTTTCTTGTGGATGAGCAGTAAGAAAATGATAAAGCTGGTATGAAACTTGGTCACAGCAGAAATTATAGATGATCACTACTGGACAATGAATAAATTCACACTTTAGGGTCATGCGGAGATTTAATTTGTCCGCAAAGGCTTGATACAAAACCTTTCAATCAGATTTTTGACGAGAGCGCGTTGAAATAGAGACCTAAGGACAAGTAATATTGAAAGTAAAAGTAAGTATTACATTAACAACTGGAGGACAGCCATAACGGTAGAAGAAACATAAACTTTTGAAAACTGAGTGCTGAGATCTCTTTTTCCAGTAATTTTTCGGACTATAAGATATATGAAGGTATATGAACAACAAATTTTTTGTGACAGTCTCACGACAAAATCATGTCACTTAAGCTTCTTATAACTGCAATCCTAAAAGATTGTTCATGCATAAATGCGAGTGGGTCTTTGAGTATATATTTTTGGGCATTTAACGAGAATTTGGTAGAAATGACTTTCACTAGAAAATTATAACGAACAGTTTTTTGCACGAGAATGTCCTTGAGATCTCCGAAATCGAAGTTCACCTCGACTTCGCAAAAATTTACCACTTGTCTCTTGAAGTGTTTGTAGAAGTATGGCTCCAGAGTAGTCCGCAACGAATAAGAATGAACGAAAGGGAATAGGATGAAAGAAAAGATGCGCTAAAACAGTGAAAGGCGAAAGAATGGGAGTTTTGAGGATTCGGAGGTCGTAGCAGAGCTTGGGTATTGAGTTAAAGCTGGGGCAGAAAGAACCATGCAAAAAATTGTGAGTTTGAGAGGAAGGAGAAGATTTGGGAGTCCAAACTCAGCTGCTACCTAGGTCCAGGGCCAATGGTTTGCGAATCATCCGAGAAAAAAATTATGAAAATAGCAATATAAATTATCCGAGTATTAATATTGAAATATATACAAATCATCAATCTTGAAACTTTGAGAAAAATTAAAAATTACCAATAAACCTGCGATAACTACCATATGGATGTTTGATGCATGCTTGCGTATGGTACATGTCTACGTACAAGAGGAAGTGATCTTGCGACATTTCTAGCGCCGTTGGCCCCCGAAAAGCCGGTTACGGGGCTTTTCGGACCACTGCCGCTCGAGATCTAAGCCTGATACTGACGCTGCCGAGCACGTTTTGCAGCGTTGACCATCATCGTCGAGTGCTTTTTGCCATCAGTCTGGTACAAAACAGGTCCATGATGGTGAGCGGACGAGAAGACGAGCTGTATGATGATGCGCAATAAGGACAAGAAGTCTTTGATAAGTGGAATTGAGCTTAATGAGATGAAAAGAATGATAGATATGTAGTCACTTTGAAGAAATGAGATTTCCCCGTAATTGTCAGAAAATTCAGTTTAAGTGATGATGTAGCAATTTCATAAAGGAAATTTTCTCACGACCATTCAGAGATTTTTATGCTTTCTCCCAAAAAAAAATTTCTGCAGGTTTACTTGTCTGCACCACACACCCAGCTCCGCAAACACGCACGTTATGGCCAAGTACGTTTTGTGGCCATTTTTATAGAAGTGCATTATTTTGGCGTTGGCAACTTAACTAAGAAGGCCTACCTCTGGAATTTTGGAATATTTTCTATCGCTTTCTTATGGAAAACTAGAGACATCAAAGTATCATAGGAGATCAGTTCCAATTGCAGTCTAACAAATTTTTGGAGCCAAATAGCGCAAGAAAATGCAGAGAAAAAACCAAAAACCTTAATTTCGAATGGTTTACGATACCGTAAACTTGCTATTAGGTTAGCTCAAAGGTTCTCGGACATTTCCAGACGAGATCTGCTCTTTCTCGGAACTTAATGCATGTACATTCAATAGAGGTATCATTCAATAGAGCAAAGCAAGCCTACAAGATAGTACGCAAAAGTTCGCACCATCTTCGACCCACCGTAAGTTTGCATCCAGAATCTGAGTCCTACTGAAGGCTCGAAAAAGTGGGGAAAATTCATATCTTCGTTCAAAGAATCCTACGGATCTCCAACTTGCTCACGCAAATTGCACGCCACATCAGACACCCATATGCAACATTACTGTATTTTTCCCTTATCTAGAAATCAAAAAAACATAAATTTTCATGCTTATTCAAAAAGAAGCTGTGTTGTCCACCCTTGTAATTGTGTATTATAAGCCCTTAGCATTATAATCGTAAATTTTTAGCTTTCCGCAAGCCCTAGTTTTAAAAAGTATTTATTTTAGCATGAAACATCCAAGTGAGGAGAGCTCAATTTGGTAATTTTCGGGAAATAGGGCCTGCAGGAAGCTGAAAATTTACGTATATTTCTAAGGGCTTGTACTATACAATTACATGAGTGGGAACAGCGTAACTTCATTTTTTGTAGAAGCATGAAAAATTTCGTTTTTTCCAATTCTATATGAGGAAACATACAGCAGCGGAACATATGAGTCTCTGATATGGTGTGTTTAAGCAAGTTGGACATTCGTAGAATTTATTTAAACAAAGATATGAATTTTCCTCCTTTTTTTTGGGCCTTCAGTACGACTCAGATTCTGGATGCAAACTTACGGTGGGTCGAAGCTGGTGCGAACTTTTGCATACCATCTTGTAGATTTGCTTTGTTCTATTGAGTGGTACTTTCGTTGGATGTATATGCATTAAGTTTCGAGAAAGAGCAGATCTCGTCTGGAAATGTCCGAGAACTTTCGAGCCAGTCTAATAGAAAATTGTACATTTGCGAATCAATCATGCTGATGAGTAAAAACTGCAATGCGCTGCGTACAAGCAAATTTGAAGAATTCGAGAACTTTATGGAATTTT